AGGACTAAAGTCAAGGAATAGAATTGTCCAACAATTGCACAGAAGTAGAGGAGTTGTAGAGAAAGAAAGACAGACCTCTCTTTGCACCCATTAACTCCACAGGCTTTGCAAAAGCACTCAATCGGTTGGATGAAAGACGTCCACGTACGGTGACTGTATGCAGTGCGAGCGGTTTGATCCCTCCTATGCTGTAGTTGCGTTCACTGGCGGAGAGGTTGGCCACTGAACGCCACTGATGCACGGACACCACACCTCCAGTCCTCATCAGCACCTCATAACCCTCGAATTCTCCTTCCACATCCTGAGGATCGTCTATCACTATTTGCAGCGTTGAAGCACTTGCAAGGAGCTTCGCCGCAAATGTCGGTTTACGCATTCCTAAGACGACAAAGAGAAGATGTCAAGTTGAGTGCCATCGGTTGTAGGTGGCGAGTTTGGACCTCTGGTACCGCGGTTTAGCATCTACTGGCATTACAAGACAGAACGCATCAAGTAAAGCAAAGGTTTTATATTTCTGCAAGACAAAAGTTAAATGGAAAGTTCAACTTTTCGATATTATGGCGTATGCGCCTTTAGCACACAGTTATGTAGGACGGTGACATTTATTTTGCAGCAGTTGCCTACCACGACTTTCAATGCATACCTTTGAAAACTACTTTCAATCAGGAGGTGTCATCAAATCAAATCGAGGCCAAAACGAAGGGTAGTGGTGACCAGTAACACGGACTAACTGCACCTAACAGCCTTCGACCTGCATTTTGCAATGGCGGAGTCCACACTGAAGTGTGGACGAGGAGAGCAAAGAGTTGGCACGGCACGTTGCGCACTGCATGACAATTGGAGGTTACGAAGAGATGATTCTTCAATTGCCTCACCACAATGGCGTCACCGAGAGCCCCTTCTTCAGGAATGTCAATGAACCCGCATCACCGTCTACACCTACCACTACATTGTTTAAGGAAATGCAGTTGATCTCCGCATCCACACCAACATAACAGAGAAAATGCAGTTCTGCTTTAAGCCCATTCTTTCATCTGTTCTGTTCCTCAGTCGGTGAAGGACACCTTTGGGTCTGGAAGATACAGTCCCAACGAAAGTGTCACCTCCAAAAGAGAACTGCCCTCTCTGCCATCTTGACTAAGGAAAGAAGAGAATTCCACACGCAATCACGGAGGGAAGATAACATTTCACCTTCACGTAGGCTTGTCCGTACCACTTGATGCTTATTCGTAAGGTCTCGCCATTTAACTTATTCGCCTTATTGTCGAAAGCGACAATTTCAGGGGCTGTAAATGCTGCCATCATCGCACGTGGTTACGAAAACCACACCGATGGCTACCACCTTCCCATTTCAGCCCTCCACACAGACTTCACTCTCACCAGCATTGCATGGAAGAGTCAAGAAGTTGTTGGATGGGGGAAAAAGGTGGCAGGACTAGAGGTGACAAGATGCATTTGGGAGTACGTTCAACATGCTAGGGAATGGGTGAAGGGATTGGCATCCTTTAACTTGGGACGTTGGGACTCGAATTAAGAGGAGAAAGGTGTAGACTACTCTTAAGCTAACAGTCCGATCGCATTTTTGCGTAAACTCGCATCCACGCTCATTAG